GAAAAAAGTTAAAATGTTAGATAGAATAATTCAGCTGAAAACGATTCTATACCACCTTTAAGAAATAATAATGACACATTCTCCTTATCAGACTTAGACAAAGCCAATACTTTAAACTCCTTCTTCAGTTCAATCTCACAGTTGGATGATTCACATACCCAACTTCAAGACTTTAGTTTTAATGCAAATTCAAGACTAGAAAACTTTAATGTTTGTGAACAAGAAATAAAAGATGTATTAACAAATTTAGTTATAAATAAAGTTTCTGGACTAGACGAAATAAGCCATAAAATGTTGAAAGAAACTTATTCCACTGTCTATACTTTTTAATTATTCGTAAAATGAAGGTTATTATCCTAGCAGTTGGAAACTGGTACATGTTATGCCTCTTTTTAAAAAGGTTAATAAAGACGAACCATCAAATTATAGACCAATTTCATTAATAAGCTGTGTTGGTGAAATAATGGAACGCATAATTTTTAAACATTTCTATAATTATCTCCATACAAATTCTTTAATATATCAAAATCAATCCGGGTTTATGCCAGGTCATTCTACAGAGTATCAACTTATTGATATATATAACCAAATTTGCAAAACATTTGACAGCAAAGAATCTACTTGTGTTATTTTTTGTGACATTTCTAAAGCATTCGATAGAGTTTGGCATTCTGGTCTTATCTTCAAAGTAAAGCAATACGGTATACAAGGGAAACTAAATACATGGTTAAAAGACTACTTAAATAACAGAACCCAAAAAGTTTTCGTATCTTTGACATTTTCTTCTTTAGAAGGGGGCGTTGCTCAAGGCTCAGTACTTGGTCCATTATTATTTTTAATATATGTCAATGACATAGCAGACTCACTCTTAAGTATTACTAGACTCTTTTTTTCGCAGACGACAGTTCTCTTTCTGTGTCCTCAAAAAACATAACCTTTATGGAAGAAACGTTAAAAAAGGATCTAGCGACAATAACAAGATGGTCTAAGCAATGGTTAGTCAATTTCAATTCGGCAAAAACCGAAGCAATCTTTTTTTAATTTTTTTTTAATATGATCATACACAATTATTTTTTGATAATGTACAACTCAATTTTGTCAAACATCATAAACATCTTGGGGTCACATTTAGTCAAGATTGGTCTTGGCATCAACATATATCTAACATAGTATCTAAAGCCTCTAAAATACTCGGTTCCATGAAAATGCTCAAATTCAAAATTAAAAGAGAATCACTTAATAATATATATGTATCATATTTACGTCCACATTTAGAATACTCATCGTTAGTCTGTGATAACTGTGCGCAATACGAGAAAGAAACATTAGAAAAATATCAATATGAAGCTGCCAGTGTTGTTACAGAATTGACAAAATCCGTTACTATACAAACATTATTAACAGAAATAGGTTGGGTTTCGCTTTCAGATGGGAGACATATTCAAAAATTATTTTTAATATACAAAGGCAAAAACAATTTATTAGGTACCACTTTATTTAATGCAATTATTTCCCCCATCTGTGAAATATGCACATGAAAACCCATATTCTTTAACAAACAGTAAAGACTAAGCATCAATTGTCAGAAGAACAGACATTTTTTCGAAATCCGTTTTACCATCAGCACTACAACAATGGAATAAACTTCCAATTAAAATACGTGAATCAGAATCCCTCCGTTCCTTTAAAGCAAACATTAAAAAAATATTTAAATCCCCATCGGTTCCTTCATTTTTCATTAAAGGTGAACGCTTCTCTACAGTACATCATACTCGTTTAAGAAACAACTGCAATAACCTTAATTCGGATTTATATGATAAGCACATTGTTTCCAGTCCATCTTGTATATGTGGAGCAAACATTGAAAATTCAGAACACTATTTATTTAAATGCAAATAATACAGTGAACAAAGACGAACATTGTTTTTAAACACAAGATCTTTTCATCCTCTAAGTGTCTTAGTGTACGAAAACTTTTGTTTGGAATAGAAGGGCGTTCTGAATCCGAAAATGAAATTCTTTTTATAAGGTACAGACTTTTATTAAATCAAGCAAGAGATTTAATTGAATAAAATCCAATCATTTTACTGCTGAAACAGTACTTTAAGATTAAACAGGATTTTGTGCGGTGAATATCTTCGTATTTATTTATCTATATATATTTTTGCTGTTTTTGTAACTACATGAAACAATAATTTTATTATTTCATTCTATAATATATTCCTTTTTCTCAAAATTTGATGCTTAAAACACTTAATTCAAAAGCCATATATAACTTTAAATGGAACACTATTAACTTTTGAAACTTAAACTTAATACATTTAAAATATTTAAATAACTTAATTAAATCATTCTTAGTATCATATTTTTATTATAATGCTTATCTACATTTCTTTTTTTATATAATTTTTTTTTCTTTTAATTTCTCATTTCTCTCGATTTATTCTTATTTACATATATAACATTTGTTAAAATTAGTTCCTGAAAATTACTTAAAACTGAAATTGATAAGTATTTGATATCATACAACTTCATTCAAATAACATAAACTTATTTCTGACTAACCTCAAAGAAGGGCCCAAGATAATGTTGTTAGAACTTTTGGCCCAACCTATTTGTATGTACACTTGATTATGTCAGTAAAAATATGAAATTGTAATTGTGTGTATATTTATACAATAAAATATTATTAAACTAAACCATCACATATTCTGTTTAGCCCTTACTCTGAGAATAAGATACAATATATATATAAAGTCCCAAAAACATTATCAAAAAGATAGTATTTAAAATAGAAACGTTATTTTTATTAATTTGTAATTTACTTTTAAATTAGATGTTTTCAGTATATAAAAAGAAAAGAAACAAAAAAAAAGAAGAAAGAAATCTATTGACAAAAGTAAAATTATTTCCCCATATTCTTTCATGTAAATCACTATATAGTCCAGAGGGCGACAATTCGACATTGCGATGACCACAAAACGACAGTGCTATGACGACAATACGACAGAGCGATGATGACAAAACGACAGTGCGATGTACTATCGCACTATCGTATGTTCGACATTGCATTATCACACTGTCGGCTTTGCAATGTCGTATTGTCGTCATCGCAATGTTGTATTATTGTCATCGCACTGTCGTATTGTCGTCATCGCACTTTCGCACTGTCGCATTGTCGCCGTCTGGATTAAAAAGTATAACCATTATGGCCCTAACAGTATTCCGCACTAAACATACCTTAAATTGAGTTGTGTTTATACAATGATATCAACATAAATAAGGCTTAATTCTTATTTATATAAAACAATTAGCTAAAGAATAATATAATGTGAACGATACTGAAGACAGTTCAAGCGAAAGAGAAAATCAGAAGATTTCAAATAAAAGCTTTCTCAATAAACCGAAAAGTGGGACAAATACTGCGACACTCGTTCACTTTATAAGCTGTTTATATCCTTATTTTCTTAGAAGCGTTTGACTATTACTGAACGATAAATTAAACGCTGTGAGAAAAACAACTAACTAAACACAGGTGCAAATCAAGTGTTTATTTTCAAGTACAACCCTAATTTTCGTATGTGATTAAAATCAATAGCTGAGGTGAAAATAAAATACCTTAAAGATATAGAATAATGATGTTAACAAAGGTGTTGTGTATGGTTTTGCCAATAGGATACTGGACTTGACTTGAACATTGACACCACAGTTGGTTTTTTTATGTCACACCGGTATTTCAAAGGTCAAATGACTTTCTAGCTTTACTGATTAAGGAAGACCTCAGATGCCCCATCTCGACAACTTCTGACACACGAGTGGAACTACCAACCTTCTGTAAGTTTTCTTGATACCTTCCATACATTAAAGAATTCTAAGTCACAGGCGGGATTACAACAAACAGTGATGAGAGAAAAGTGGTCAAAAATTCAAAGTCTAAGACCTTAACCACTCGGCAGTGGATACCTTAATTGGTCTCAGTTGCCCAGCATGAGTAAATCTTATCTTGGTCTGAAATGTACAAATCACTATCAGCATCATCACCACCGCAATCAGTTCATTGCAAATGTGGAGGCAACTAGCTAGTACATGTACTGGTGAACTGCTTGACAGCCTTTCAAGGAAAATGCCAAGCAATATTATAACAAATCTTCCTCAAACTCTTTAATCATACAGTGTTAAATAATTTAAATTCATATTAAGTTATTTTATAAGAATTAAATATGGCTGTAGACCATAAATACTTAATTGGATTAAGCCTGTTCATGGACGAAGCCGACGAAGCCGAGTCTGCATTATTTTCAACTGTTTATCGTTTTCATTTTTTTCTTTTTTCTTGATTGTGTGTCTCCCTGATTTATTAAATTGAGTCTGTTCATGAGGGATATTGTAAATATGTGACTCTCCCACGCCCCCTAGTATCTACAAGCGGAATTCAATCTTCAACACTAAAATTGCTGGAATAAATTATCTGTTAAAGAGAGGTAATGTTAACGTGAAAACACCTCTCAAGCCTGCGATGTTCAACTTTCACAACTAAATGTGCTAGGATCAATGATCTCGGTGCACCAGTACAATATAACAACACTCTACAAACTGCATAAATGTTTCGCGCTGCAATTGATTTGGACCTGACCCGATAACGTTACCAGATATTACAAACACTTCAAAAGTCAGTATTAATTATGAAAGAGGCCATAGTACTTTTTACAAATTTCAGGTCTAATTTGATAGATTTAAAATGATATTGCCTTTTGGCGCATCTGCATTAAGATTTTTATTTGTTCTGTGCTTTTCTCACAAAGATTAACTTACTCGTTGAGCAAAATTAACTACACTAAATGAAATATGGAGAGCAAAATTAAGTTGCTTAGAACTAGGAATTGTAGTTTTTTTACTACAAAAAACAGACACTAGACTTGTAGAGACTTTATTAAAACTATTTACAATGAGGAAAATAATGAATACATAAGTCAAAGTATTAAAATACATACATGTTTATTGATTAGGATTTACCATCATTCACGAATTTTACCAAACACTTTGCTAATGCTGTTGACAAAGACATTTGTAACTAGATGAAGCCCTCACACAAGATTTCTCACGAATGTGTGACAACCATAACAAAAATAGTAAATACCTAAAAAAGCCAGTTTTAAGAATTGCACAAAACTTAGCTGTTTTAATATGATTTTAGATATCGGTTTCTGTTCATTCAAAATTGCGTCTCAATGTAAATATAGCTCTTGCACCTTAACATACAATTATAAATTTACATATAAGAAACCGGACATTATGTCAGACATCATTAACAGCTAACCAAACAAATGGGAAAAACAATATACACACACGCACACACACACACGCACGCACACACCAAAGTTCATAAATCCGGAGCATGCAAAATTAAATTCATATGATTGGCTTGTCGAGATAGATCGGATTAACACGTGTTAAATATTTCTTGTATGTACAACATTATCAAAGATAAGATGAAAATAATTCATTTGCGAGTTATATTATCATAGTTAACTCCTTCTCTTTCTAATTTGCCTCACTATTACTACAAATCCAATAGAAGCAACCGCTCCAAGTGTAACAAATCCAAAATTTTTAGCAGATGTATTTTTACTTTCTTCCTGTCTGGGTTCTTCTGCAACTATAAAATTGTAACAAAAATATCTTATAATGAAATAATTTGGCATGGCAGTAAAAATACATAAGCAAGTGTCAAACAATATACTTTACTTAATTTTAGATCTCTTTTAGAAAACTATCTGTAATGCGATACAAATTTAGGTAACATAAACTGAAATGGTGATTCTTCGTATAAAAAAAGGTATTTGGACCTTGTTTTGTAAAAATGATCAATTCTTAATACCCTCGTTTATATAAAACGTTTGACATATCATTGATAGATTTTGAATTGTACTAATGGAAGCAAATTCTCTGCATTTTACGAAGAATTGTCAGTTTATTGCATTGGATAAAAAACTTTTTTCGATTATTTTTAATGTATTAGAAACCTTTGCATGTCAAACAAATTTAAATAAAAAAAGGGCAATGAAAGACTTACTCTGTTCTTTGCTTTGCAAAATCTTTTCACATTCCTCTTTAGATGTTTTTATTGTCCTACCGTCGCCTTTAAGACCTACTATTTTCGTCCCAGATTCACAAGGTATTTGTGGTACAAGCTGATCTGTGACATTCACTTCACGTTTATTTCGTGTCGAGAATTCCTTTTTACAAGCCTCTACTGTTCGAGATAAACATCGTTTTTGGTCATCGCAGTAAAGATACTCTCCACTGCACGTACTGTCACAGGCAGGTTGGGGCTCATATTTATAAAACATTTGTGTCCAATTCCGCCAGAGTCCATCTACTGTCTTCAAGTGGCTATAACCAAATAATGCATCTTCGTGGCCTTGTCCTATAATGTTCTTCCATCCAATGTCATCTTTTGGCCTGTAATCTGTTTCAATGTCTATGTGGCCACAACTAAAATAATACTATAACGATTATAACAATACAGCAAAAAGTTCTATAGTTTCGGAATTGTAGACGGAAAGTAATACCTGAAAAATAAATGTTTCGTACACTTAATACTTTAAAAATGCAATTTGCTAAAGAATCATTGACAAAGTAGAGCTATTTCTTCATCATTTTTTTTATCACAAATCAACAATGAATTACATACATTTATTTTATGCTTTTGAGTGGATAACTGGTTTATCCGTGAAAATCATATTTGATAATTTCAAAGTGAAAATTATCATAATATAATTTCACACTTTTCAATGAAGAGACTATTTCTTAAGATTTTCCCCATGTGGTACCTCACTTCAATTTATTCTTATAATTCTAACATATATAGGACTGATTAGAGCAAAGCAAAGCTGTAATTGATAAGTAAATTAAATTTCAAACGTTATCAAAGAGAGAAAACATACTTCACTTCATTCAATTTACCGCTCTACCTTTTTTTAATTTTTTTTCGTAACTGTCTGTTAATTACACATCATGCAAAGGTGCTCTTGATGACATTTTGGCATATCTTAGGTCTTACTAGCAATAACTGTAAAACTGAGTAAAATCAATGACAGTCATCTGCCCCCCGAAGGATGAGTAAATAACCAAACGTTCATGAGACAGTCTTTCAAATAATTCCTGTCTTCAAATTTCCTAGTCGCTTATTGAATGAATGCGCATATGTCAACAATTAATTATTGTTTTCTACAATCCACGAGTAAGTATTCCTTCTTATGATATTTAAACTTATTTTTTAGCTCAAGACTACTTTTATTTATGAGAATTTTGTCTGAAATCGAGGCTACAAGTTGAGGAAACAGATTTTAATATTCAAGTTGATATTCAGGAAATTAATTTAAACTTGTTTTTAAGCACAAAATAAAAAGAATATTTGTTTGTTTGTTGTGTAAGATGTAATCTTTAATCTTGTGAGAATTTTACGCCACTCGTGAGAATACTGTTTTTAAAGCTCACTCGATGAAATAAAATTTCATCTTACACACAAACAAACAAATATCCTCTATTTCGTTGCACTTGTAGAAATTAAAGTTTTCATATACACTGACATCGTTGACATAACACAGAAACCTCAAATAGATATATACTTTTCTGTCTGATGCTCCCTAAATGACTCCCATATATAGTCAATAAATGCATGATGAAACCAAAATATCGGATCGTACGCCGAGTTTTCAACAACACCCATATCTCCTCCAATGTAGTCATGTACGCTATCGTGTAGAGTTTCAAGATTACGTTCATTTTTATCTTCTAAAATGCCCGTTGTTATGTCCTAAAATAAACAGATACTGTTTTTTTACTGTACTTTGTCACGAGATTATATGAGCCATATGATATCTGCACCTGCCAGATCAAAATGTTTGGATGTCTTAATACAATCGCCATGTTTAATCATACCATTTCTTTATTTTATTCAGATGTGATAGACTTTGTTACTATAATTTTCCTAGCTCCAACAAAGCAGTTTTATATGGTTTTTTTTCAATGACACCCATTGTACACATTTTGAATATCTTTATCTAGGCATTAATATCAACAGATATTCGTAAAAAAAAGATTGTATTACTAATATCTAACTATGTATAAAACTTAATGATTGTCTTAGCAAACACATAAATCGGTGACGAACAATTAAATATTGAATATAAATGATTTTTATTGCCAATCTTCGAATGATAAAATATTAGCTGTCCATATGGAATTGTAAATATTATCAAATAATCACATACCTTAAAACTACAAAACCCTTTTAAGTTTTGAATGTCTCTTTTGTTGATCAACCTTGTAGAATATGCCTTATCCGCCAGTTTCCTCGACAGAACGGAGCCATGAGCACCGTACATTAATTTGAAAGAACCTGATCTGACAGTACCGGTTTTTTCTCCAAAAAAGCATGGCGTCCACAACACAGCTTCAAAAGGTTGAACTATTTCTGTGTCAATTGTATAGTCCCAGTAAGGTAAGGATACACTCGGGTTAATTTTCTTCATTTCTTGTTCAAAGCTTCAATGTTAAAAATATCATAAAAGGGCATAAACAAGTGGAGTCTCCATCTTATTATTATCTCAAGGAAATTAGAACAATGTCCTGTTTTGTTAAAGAATTTAAAACAATAAATCTGTCATTTCAAAATTCATTTAGAATTATTCAAGACAGATTTTCGAAGCCTATTACTTACTGAGCAAGGAAGACCCGGTGCCATGGTAAAAATGCACCTCCCTTGTGAGCCCTTAATTTCACCTTCCCATGCAAACGTCCAAATGATTGAAGAACTCCTGTCTGCAAGGAAGAGAAAGGTGCTTGATAAATAAGTACAACATTAAAATGCCAAATGATAAGAATTATTTGAGAATGAAATATTCTTTCACACAGGCAACACAAATGCACTTGCAAATGTAGCTATCCTTAAAATGTTTCTATTTGAAGGAGCAACATTTCAAAGGAAATACGATTGCTTAAAATTCTATAACCCTATATACACCCTATGATAAGAATATGAAATATAAATTCACAAAAAATGCTCTGAATACTGTACATTTTGTTCTTATCCTGTATCATACCTATAAATAAAAATATTGTTCACGTTTTGAAAATTAGAACGTTCTATAGTTCAAATAAAAATATTTATAAAATATCTAGAAATATTGTGAAGGATATTAGTTCAGAAACGACTTAACAACATACCATATTTAAATGTTATAATTGTAACATATCTTGACATAAAGGCAAAACGAAAATTGTAAAATAGAATTCGTTTAAACTTTTCATAGTTCTTATGTTTTATTGGCCTACTTTTAATTAAAAAGTGCAATGATTAAACTAAGAAAACTTTGATTTCAGGAGTAAAATATTATGTTATAAAAGTTTTATAAATGTATATGTTTTGCTGTTAAATTTCTTCATTGTAACGAATATACCGAGAACTGTAATAAAAGTGTACAGCTGTGTGTAATTACATTTAGCAAATGGCATTTTTCATGTTTAAAACGACACTTTTTTAACCATAGCATCATCTTTTGCATTATTAATCATCTCAAATTTGGCATTGAAAATCGAATTCCTAGGAATTGTAGCATTTATAAGTGTTCACGAAATTATGCTCGGTGAAATATTCCTGGTTTTAAACAAAGGATATCTATGAGATCAATAACTTTGGAACTAGACTTACATCGTATAATTCTCGGAAAACGTCTACCACATTTTGCCATTCGACCTCTGACAATGTGCGAACTTCTCGTCTTATGCTTATGCCAAAGGATGGAGGCGTGTGGCCGAAACTAAAATTGCAACAATGTGAGATATACGTCAATTGAATGACCAAGGTTTGAAAGTAAATGTAATAATGATAATAATAATAACAACAAATATATGATCAGATGTTTAGAATATTTATAGAATGTTATAAGAACCTGTCATCCTTCACTTCTTCAAAAATTGCCCAATCATCATCTGTAAGATTGTTTGGCCCAAGTTTCTCGAAATATTCATGGCCACAAGCCATTTCTGCTTGCCGATCTATAGCCGGTGACATCTTTAAATCATAAATTAAAATGATAATTACTTGATACAGACACTTTGTTGGAACAATACTTTACAATTATCAAAATAATAATTATAATATTTATGTGATTATATTATAGGAGATACCTGTTTATGGACATAGCAATCTCACACTGTAAGTAAGATGTACGTATTTTAACTTATCATTACTTATTTAAGAATATCAAAACAGATTGATGCTACTTTTTGTAATAAATAAATATAGATAAATAGAGTTAAACTTACTCTAGACCTTTGAATGCATGTTTCAATTTCAGACTTCGCACTATCTGGAAGATCAATCTTAAATTCATATGCATCGATGTAGTTCGAAACTAAAGTGATAAGCGTCAATTTTGCTAGATTGTAGAACATATTTGCCTACAACACAAAAAGGTCCGTATGATTTGATCAGAAAATAGGAAATTGATCAAGGTAAGTGGTAATTGGGAAAAATAATTAAAATAAGTTAAAAATAAACACCATAATAAATAAATGAAAGGAATAAAATAAAAAATGTAAACTGCTTAATACAAGTTAGCAGATGACAATAAAATTGTATTTGTTATGAATTTGATTACATTGAAGGCTTGAATTCCAAACATTGTTTTCCATAACTTTTATTAAATCTAAAAATTCTAAAATCCAATAATTCTTGAATTAAATCAATTTAGGTAAAACAATTATTGATCATGTCCGGAAAAAAGAAAGCAACAATAAAAAGTCAAGTAAAGCGTGTACCTTGTCGTTGCCTAGTTTTCTTCGATCGGATTTATCTCTGCTTTGCCCAAGTTACTGTCTACGCAGATTCCCTAACAATATCTAATAGGTATTAAAATGATAGTTTTTAAAATATCTGTTATCTCAAAATATTTAATTTATCTACAGGTCAAAGGTAATTAAGTAAATCAGATGATATGTATAAAGTTATGTAGATATTATAGTGACATCAGATGTCAGATGTTTTGAATAATTTCAATGCAGATGTAAATTACCTTGTAGGCATGATTATATCAATTTGTCATAAAATTATATTCTGTCCTTTATAGACCTTTGCTGTTGAATTTTTATAATATAATTCTGGAGAGGGTAGATCCTTTAAGGTAGCTCGCTTCTTTCCGACCGAAAGTTGACAACATCTCAGATCTTGATGATTTTTGGTATAAAATATGTAGATAAGTAAGCTTTACTTCTGCGGCATTATTTTTAAAATTAATAGCGTTACTATGACGTCAAAGCGCCCTCTATCGGTGGCGGCGAAATTGGGTGAACACCTTCAATAATCGAAATAAATTATCTTCGTCATATTTCGCTTTCTTTGTAAAACAGATAAATACGTAACTGATTTCCAACTAATCCACACCACAATCATATGACTTTCTATGTAAAGGGATAGTACTGAACTAAATTAATGACAAGCTACATGTAATATTACGTATATTAAGATTAAGTTAAGTATTTAGTAAAAAGATTAATAAATAGTATAACCTGATTTAAAAAATGTTACGTAATTAATTCAATTTTAATTCTTTATTCATTTGAAAACATGCTTTTATATGAATATAAACAGCATTAACAAATAACAAAACAATAAGAGCTCATAAAATTTATGTAACAAGCAATTACAAATTCAAGTGCACACACATTTGACACAGGTTTAATACTAAAATATTATGCTTTTTGAGATACTACCAAAATAAAATATGAGAAAGAATGACAATTATGAGAGGGCAAACTTTATAAAACAATAATTAAACAATATTTTCCCGTTCCTTATGCATGCTTTACATTAATACGTATTTATCAGTTGTCTTGTCCATTATTTTTGGCAGGAGATTAACTTCATTTTTTTATTGCTGTGTCAAAAATAAATAAATACAGATTCAAAAAAAATAAGGAATAAAATTAAGAATAAAACAAAATAAGATAAAATACAGATTCAAATAAAATAAAGAATAATACAAAATAATATAAAATACCATATGAACTGCATAAATGTATTTGGGACTAAAGTGATATGGAATTGCATTTATAAAGTCATGTAGATACGGATCCAAGGTCCGACCCGAATTTTACCTGCCAAAAGGTAACCTATAAATTTTGAATTTAGTATTTCATTGAATGATATTACATATGTATGTAAGTCGATTAAGTGATGTTTACTTTTGTTATGCATGGGAGGCCAATGAGACCAGTAAATGGAGAAAAATATTGATGTTGCTGTCCAAATAAATGATCATATCTTTCAGACGAGATTGACTGACTGATGAGGTTTGCAACTCGGACTGGTACCTGGCACATACAAATGCGTTCTTTTCGTTTCAATATTTCACATACAAATTTTAAATTAGACTTTCTGATTCCTTTTTTCAATTTTGTATATTAATGAAAATACCCGGTGAAATATAAATTACATTATAATACATAAGACGTAAGGCTCAACAAATGACATAGAAAAGAATAATTAATTTAGTTTTGTCTTTTAATTGACGGTTTTGTCTTTTTAAGTCTTGTCTGTTATATGCAAGTTTCATAACCTCAGATCCCCTTCCAAAATTTTATTTTATTTAGTTCCGCTAATTGATTTCTCGCTTACAGCACACGCATTCCTTTACTTGGGGGCCATACGCCGCTTTTCATGACATTGCAGTACCGTGACATATTGAAGGTTCCATAATAACCACCGTATGTACACATCTGCGGAGGTTTCTAAATTTTAAATTTCATCATTACCATTATTAAATGTAGAATTCTTTTAAAGCCGGTGCTAGGGGCGTGGACGGTAACATGCACTTTCCAGTACCGTGCATGTACAGTCTCAATCAAACCGAACCTGCAACATTTTCTATTTTGCTGTGTTGGCCTTTCTTTAGGGATTCTGATTTTCTCTATTATAGTAGAACTCCAATATAAATAAAATTCTGGAAAGGGCAGATCCTTTAAGAGCAATAAAAGCAAAAGCAAGTAGTTTAAAGCTGCAAAATTCGGTTTCATTGAGTTTGTTAAACAGAGATAACGGAGTAATGGAGGCCAAAACTTCATTCAAGCCCCTTTTTATTAGATGAACACCTTTAATAATCGAAATTCATTATCTTCATCAAATTTCGCTTTCTTTGTAAAACAGATAAATACGTTACTGATTTCCAACTAATCCACACACTCATATGACTTTTTATGTAAAGGGATAGTACTGAACCACATGACAAGCTACATGTAATATTACATATATTAAGATTAAGTAAAGTATTTAGTAAAAATGTTAATAAATAGTATAACCTGATTTAAAAAATGTTACGTATTTTTTTAACTTTAATTCTTTATTCATTTGAAAACATACTTTTATATGAATATAAACAACATTACCAATAAACCTCTTAATCTCATATAGACGTGTTTTGATGACTTTTCGCCCCCCCCCCCCTCCTTTCAGGAATCAAACAGTGTAAATATGCTCTAGTTAGGCCCCAAACACTGTTTTTAGTTTGAGAAATGTTGATAAAAAAGGGATCACTTTTTCGGCGGCGCCCACTATTTAAAATGTACATCAAGGGGTTGCCAGAAGGGGAATGTACCCCCCTTCAGTTTCGGGGATTTGAAGGGGGCGGCAGCCCCTCTCATTTCCCTGAAAATTTAGGACATGTGACAGGCTAAAAATGGCCTTAGGTCGATCGTAAGGTAACGTGTCACCAACACTGATAAGCCTTTTACTCTATCTCAATCCATTGAGAAGTTGCAAAACTTTGAAAACAGTTTTGATGGAAAAAACAATGCAAAATAGTGATTTTGGCAATTTTGAGATGTCCCCCGTTGCCATGGTAACAGGAAATTTAAGATTAAGCATGCTGTTACAGAGGCTATGGTCCAGTGAATGTTTGTGCCAAGTTTGGGGGGGGGGGGCTTGACTCCAATGATTGTATTTGTTTGTATCGTCCATATTCAAAAGAATATGTATCGTGGGGTTGCGAAGAAAAAAAGCCTGTATTTGCTTTAATGGTCTAAGCTTGTTCAACTGTTTGTGAAGTATGGGACAGTGCTTTATTTAACTTGGCCTATTGGCATACTTAAGGACCTCAAATTTTCCAAACATTATCATCTGATATTCTTTTTAAGACTTAACTTGATATCTTGTTTTTCATTTTTTATAAAACAAACAAAAATGTTATTTTGGATTGGAGGTGTTTTCATCTAAAGAGTAATTCTGTTGCTGATTTCGAACTAATCCATGCAATCATACATGATGGCTTTCTTATTGATAAGATAAAGATAAAGTTTAGGTTGTAACGTACTGTACAGCATAATAACTTTTATATGAAAAAAATAGATAAGTGATAATTAATATAATGGTTTGATGTATCGAAAATGGAGAGACGATTAAGATCGAAAATAATATTTTGTCTGATATTTTATTACTTAACTTTATTTTTAAGAACATTATTTTTTAATAATTTGTGTATTATTTTTGGTTATTGCTCTGGAGAAAGTCTATAAAAAATAAGAAGGGTAACAAATTTTTGAATCCCATCAGTCCTGGTTAATTTAATTATTTTTAAATAGACGTGATACATACTAATAGACAGTTTTCAGACAACTACAGAATTATTTAAATTAAACATTAATCAGCGAAGAACTAGTTTTTTAGTCTTCTAGTTAGTGTTCCCGTTCCCCTACGACGCGTTGCGGTATTCGCTTGATTGAAACGCTATCTAATCAAATCACTTCTCTTAATGATATAAAATACGACAGTATATCATGGTAATTATATGATTATATAAATCTTTGTGTGTTATAATTTAAAAAGCGGTTAGACTCTACTGATATTTCACTTCAAAGTGTTTTAAATTGATTATTTTATTAAAATTGCCTTTTTGACACCAACTTTGTTCTCATTTTTCATTTCAATGATAACATTTAGCTATTGATCAGTAAGTAAATAAGAATAATCAATTTTTTATAATAACCGAGTACAGTTCACGCTAATTGTGAGACGAACCCTAAATGACGTCTGTATGGGCGCCGCCATTTTGAAATGGACGTCACGTCAGGTTACAACGTAAGTCAACGGGAAAAAATATAATTTTATGGAAAAAATGAAAAACATGCCTAGAGATATTGACGTCAGGGTTAACATGACATTATTTTTAAATGATTTTACTATTATATTAAATAAAAAATGGAATGTTCAAATTTGATGGGACAGACTATAGTATATGAATTGTCTGACTGGAGTTAAAACTAGGTTTAAGTTGATGTAGAACTGCATAAAAACATGATAAGTATAATAGTCCTATCAAAATGTATGTTCAATTACTATAAATTACAAGTTTTGTTTTTGAGATTCGCTCAATGCTCTCTATATCATATATAATATTAAGGTGATATAAAGTAGCTCAAATCCGCCTGTGTTCTGTCAATCTATCGAATACAAGTGTTTTATTATATACTTATAAATGAAATATTGAGAAATATTGATGAAATAAAATGCGTATTTTCATTTTCCGTATTTTCACTGTAAAAATTATTTTTCACTGCAGTGAAACATATTTTCCGTATTTTCACTGGTGTCTTGCCGGACTACTTTCTTTTAAATGCTGCCAGTACAGAAAATTTAAGGGAAAGTCTTTCAAATATTATCCCAAAAAAAGTGAAAAATGTATATAATAAACAGAAAATTCAAGTTTTTCTATAATTACATGATTTATTTTCATCTTGTGGCATGAAAATTACCATATTTCACTCGTGGCTACCGCCACTCATGAAATATTTATTTTCATACCACTCGATGACAATAAATCATGTATTAGATGTCGAGTCCAAGGTTTTGGCCGATGAACATGATGAATGAGAGTCAAGATTGCGTCCATGT